CAGCCAACAGCCAGCACGGTTTCCTTTTGGACACAAAGCAAAAGAATGGCTTTTCCTTACTGAACCTTATTTGTACTCTGCCAAACACCAGGTGTCTGATGTAAGATTTTACACCTGCCTCCACGCGTTTTTTATTGTTGTTTTCATTCCGGTAAGGCAGTGAAATGGTATCCCAGGAGAGGCTGGGCAACCCCTTGTCATCCAGGGAATTCAGCTCCTCTGGGGTTTCGCCTTCCAACTCGAGGACTCCATGTGGTCTCAGTTTTTGCCCAGGCCAGCCCTTCGAGTAGGAAGCGACAACACGAAAGCTGATCTCTGGGGCACCTTAGCCGTGCAGAAGCAAACACGGACCTGTCTAGACTCTAAAAGCAGTGATAACAACGACAACATTGGCTATCACTTGTGTTTGCAAAGATTTGATCTTCACAACAACCCTGGAAAGTAGGTGCTATTATTGTCCCCACTTTACAGATGAGGAAACCGAGGCAAACAGGGTGAAGTGACTTGCTCAGGCTCACCCAGGTAGCAAGTGTCTGGGGCCACATTTGAACCCCCCAAGATGAGTCTTCCCGACTCGAAGCACCATGGCGCCCCCTCGCTGCTGTCCCAAGCCCCTCTTACTTTGTTCATTCTTTCACTGAGCCAAATCCTCTGTAGAGAGATGTAATTCCATCGGCTATAAAATGCTGCAACACACTTATTAAAAAAATCACCTAAAGAGTCTGAGTTGTTTGTTAGGGGGAGAATTACGGCCTCAGACCTGTGATTTAATTAGGAGAGAACCACCCAGAGGCCCTCCGGGAAGCACACAGCAGACAGGAGGCTTGGCCCTGGCTCTTCCAGAATCCAGAACAATGCGGCTAATAATCCCTTACATTACATGGAAAACTCAGGTTCATGGAAACATTTGTCTAAATTGCTTTTCCACAACTGGTATGAGCCCAGAGGGGAGCAGAGGACGAGAGACTGTGTCTCGCTTCACTTGGTTACCACCAGCCAGGCCCCAGGATCCTCCCCAGCCATCTGCCTTTCCAGCTGCTCCCCCAACCTCCACTGCCTGACTTTCTGGAAATGGATAATTCGATCCATCTGACCATGGCCATCACAAAGACCCCATGCTCCAGGCTACCAGGACAGAGGTTCCCTCCATGACCATCCCCCCCACTTCCTCCCCTTCTCTGTTCCACTCTTTCTCATTCTTCCTTTTCGACCCCCCTTTTTCTATCCTTTGTATATGGAAATGATCTCTTATTAAACTTAAAAATAAAAAACTGTTCAAGAAAAGCCATCCAATTTAACAAAACTGTCCTTCATGGCTTCAGAAAAACCTGGGAAGACTTATATGAACACATGCAAATTGAAGCGAGCAGAACCAGAAGATTGTGCACACGAACAGCAACACAGCAACATTCCTCAATTGTGAAAGACTTGGCTGCTGTGATGACAACGACCCCAGACAGTTCCAAAGGACCCAAGATGAAAATGCTCTCCTCCTCCAGGAAAGAACCTATGGACTCTGACTGTGTCCTGAAAAGGACTTTTTTTTTTACTTTATTTTCTTGTGGGGGGGGGGGGCGTGTGGGCACGTGCTCACGTTTTCTTTTGCAACATGGCTACTATGGAAATGTCTTGCATGAGCTCAGTATATAATCAAAATAAAATTGCTTGCCTTCTCAGGGAGGAAGGAGGGGTGGGACACAGAATTTGAGACTCAAATTTTCTTTAAATGATTGTTTAAAAATTTTTTACATCTAATTTGGGAAATATTTGACAAAATAAATAAAAATAATTTTAAAAAACTAACCACAAAATTGTTCTTCATATTCCACCTGTGCCCTCCTCCCAGGAAATTATTCTTTATATAGTTTATGTTTGATTTTCTAGATCAATGCTTTTTCTCCCAACCAGGACCTAAGTTCCCTGAAGGCAAGGATGGCTGATTTTTGTCTTTGTGTTTATTGCCACTTCTGAGGACAAGGCCTGAGAGTGGCCTTAATGCTTTTTCAACTGAAGTCAACTGACTGGATCTTCCTCACCAGGCTCCCTAGATTTGATCATCACTTCCAAGATATTCAGGCAATTGTCCTGATACAAACTTATCTACTTCTATCATTCCTCCAGTGCCAAGCCCAAACTCCACCTGCAGTACAGAGGACTTGGCCTCCTGTCCCCCTCGGGCCTGAAGCCACTGGAGGAGACTTCTCTCAATTCTGCCATCTGGGCAGGGAAGGAAAGAGCCTGGGTTTTACCCTGAAGAGACCTACAGTCAAACCCGGCCTGGCAGAGCCTGCTTCCTCACCCATTGAAGGTGGATGCTGCAGCACTCACCTGAAATCCTCTGTCTCCCCTGGATATGTTACCCTTCTCCCCCTCAGCCCCACCTTCTTTCCTGGTCCCCCAGGACCGGGCTGCCAGGGCCTCCCTGCCCCTTTCATCTACTCAGTATCTATCTTAGCTGGATCCCATGTCTCCCCATCCAAATGAATGTTGGTGCCTTCTGAGGGGGGATGGGCGATGTCTCCTTTTGTCCGAGCACCTCTGGGACCCTAGCCCAGCAACCAACCCTTTCTGTTGGGCTTTTTCTCCTCTCCACAGGCTGCTTCTCTGCCCAAAACCAGTTCTAAAAAGGAGGACTCCCAGAGGGACTCCATTCTGAATACCTCCAAGTCCTTTAAAGAAGATAAGCAACAGAGCAATCCCTTTCTGTAAACTGGGATAGCCAAAGACTGTCCAGGGAAGGATGACTTGCATGCAGTGCCGGTTTCTGGACCTAAGACCGGCCACACTGGCCACAGCAGTTTTCAGCAGGACCAACTTAAAGCCAGGCCAGGCCCGAGTCATCACTTCTGCCAGACTGGCCGTGTTGCAGTATTGACCAAGGTCTCTAGTTCAGAGACGGTACCCAGACAGCCTCCACTGACGTGAGATTGATAAAATGAGCAGAAACCACCCCATGAGGCTCCAGGGAGCCCCACTCATTAAGCATGTACTGTCTACAGCCATCAAAGTAAACTGGCTCCCACTCTCTTGCACTGGGACCATCTTGGGGACGAGGGGGGTGCACTGATACCCAGCCCAGAATCCCAACGCATGAATGACCACAGGGCTATCAGGTGATGGGAACCTGTGACACACAGCTTGTCCCTTCCCAATGACAAACTCAGTCACATATAATTATTATTATCATCATCATAGTATATCCTGGCTCTGCGGAGGGCACCTACCCACGCTCGAGAAATCAAGCAAAGAAAGCAGAATGACTTGTTAACCCTCCAGCTCCTTCCTCCCCTTCTAGGAAAAGCTGTCTATGATTAACGCATAGACCCCCACCCCTCCCCAACCAAGCTCTGAAAGGTCAGCTAGGACCTACAAACCACTGAAGCCAAGGGCCTCTTCCCCCCCCCCCCAGCAGCACTGTCCCGAGCTGACAGCCCCTTCCTTCTGGGGGCGGGCGGCCATACCCCCCACTCCTGCTCTGGCTCCTCAGCCCGCCCCTCGGAAATCTCACGCATGACTCAAACTCCCAGCTCTGCGTCTCCCTGGCCCAAGCTGTCCTGGATGTTACCAATCTTCTTCCCTCCTCTCTGAGCCCACTGAGACCAGGCGGGTGCAGGCCCTCTTTAGCACCCCCATGCCATCCTCCAAGTGTGGCAAGCCTGCTTTTCACACAGACACCTAAGGGCCTGGTTCACGTTTCTGCCTGGCATTCAGGGCCCTGAGCAGCTAACAATGTCCGGAGGCAGGCACTCTCATTTTCCTTGTGAAAGAAAAGGCCTGACCAATGGCTTGGCTGAAGCCCCCGAAGGACAGGAGACCTTTCCCACTAGACACATAGCTCTTGAAGGGCACGCTCCAGCTTCCGTTCTATCTGTGGCCTGATGGCACAGCACAGCCATCCTAAATGCTTTATCAGGTGCCTCAGAGCAGCTATGCCTGGCCCCCAGCCCAGCTGGTGAGCACTTGAGGCCCCCCCCCAATGCCTGGAAGCCAGGGGGACATTCCTGATGGAAACCTGCCCTTCTCCCCTCCCTCCCACCTGTGTGCAGACCCTTCTCAGCCTACCTAAGGCTCGTGCCTGGACCCTCTGACTTCCCTCTACTCTGTCACCGGCACTGTGGCCTGTCCAGTCTCCAGGAGCACAGCTGGCCTCCAAGGCCGGCCCCAACAACTGAGGAATCCTTCGCCTCCTCCTTCCTGGAGCCCCTGCTTCTCCCCGGCTGTCACAGGGATTCTCCAGCAGAGATCAGACCCTCACTCCCTTCCCTGCTGGGTAAGCCGCAACGGCCCCATCACCCTCCTGGAAGAAAACAAATTCCCTTCGGAGCTCGGCCCGACATTCCTCCGCAGTGACAGCGCTATTCATGCCCTTGGTACTCATACCCGGGCTCCTAGTGGGGGCCAGTAAGCCCACCCTCCCCACCTCGTGCTCCGGCAGGTGCAGCGAAAGCGCTTGGAGGCCACGGACAGTGCCTGCTGCCCCTCCTAGCAAGGCCCAGGAAGGCTGAGGGAGGCGCTGGCAGCTGGGGAACCCCGGGATGAGCTTCGCCTAGAGCAGGGGGTCGTAACCGGGGGTCCCCGGGCAGATGTGGGGGGAGGAGGGCGTCACCTCTTCCTTGTCATTGGCTTTCCATTTCATCTCCACCCCCATACATCGGCCTCTCAAAACGTGACTCGGAGGCGAAGAACGCCTGCCTACCTTGAGGCTACAAGCACAGGTGCGAGCTCGCCTCCCATCCGCACCTCGGGGAAGGCCGGAGCGCCCACCCTCTGGCTCCACTCCCCCCGCCCCTCGGGCCACGCATGCTAAGGAGAGAGAGGGGCCGCCAGACGCCTGCCCCTGCAGACACCGGCCCCAAGGACGCACAGCCGGCACCGGCTAAGCGCTCGCGCAGGGCAGCAGCGAGGGAAGGCCGGTCTGCGGCCCTGGCGGCGGCTGTCATCTCCTCCCTCCGCACGCAGGTGCCAGCCGGCGCCCCCGCCCTTCCCCCCGTCTTGCTCACCGCTCCTGGTCTCGGTCACGGCCACGGTCACGGTCACAGCCGCTCGGGATCCGCGCCGCGGCAGCGAGCGTTGGTCCTACCCCCGGCCCCGGCCCCCTGCGCTCCGACCCGCCGCCGCCGCCGCCGAGGCCCCGCCTCCAGCGCCGGCTGCGGCCCACGGCCCACGGCGGGGCCCACGTCTCGACTTGTTGTGTTGCGTCTCGCCGCAGCCGCCGCCGCCGCCGCGCCTGCCTCCTTCCGGGGCCGCGGGCCCAGCCGGGAAGGGCGGGGCGGGGAGTGGAGGGGCGGGGAGAAGGGGAGGGGGCGGAGGGAGGAAAGAAGAGAAAGGAGGGGTGGAGGGTGGAGGGAGGGGAAGAGGAGCGAGTCCCGCCCCCGGGCTGGTGGGCAGGCGCACACGGCCTCCGAGGGAGGAGGGGGAGGGGAGAGGGGAGAAAGCCACGCCCCCGAGCTGGTGGGCAGGCGCACACAGGCCCGAGGGGAGGAGGGGGGAGGGAAGAAGGGAATGAGCCCCGCCCCCGAGCAGGCGCACAGCCCTGGGGGGGATAGGGGGGGAGAGAGAGGAGAAAGCCACGCCCCCAGGCTGGTGAGCAAACGCGCACAGTCCCGAAGGGAGAAAAGGGAACGGGGGAAGGGAGCGAGCCCCGCCCGGGGCAGGTGCACACGGCGGGAGGGAAGGAGGGAGGGAGGGAGGGAGGGGGGATCAGAAGAAGGAAAGAGTCCAGCCTCACCGGGCAGGCGCGCATGCCCTGAGGGGGAGGACAGAAGGGGCCCTCACCCCGGCCGGCAGGGGCCGAGTTCCAAGGGGAAGGGCCTCGGAAGGGGGCGGGGCACGGAGTTTCAGCTACCTCCCTTGTGTCTAGTGCCTCCTCCTAATGTGGGTTCTCCTCTGTTAGCGCGTTTTCTCTGTTCTTTGAGGCCCGGGACAGTCTGGCCCTTTCTTTGGGTCCCCATGATTGCCCGCTCGCCACCCCAAGGGGGGAGACAGTCAGGGACACCCCCCTTTTGCTTTGGCCTCGACCCTTTCAGGAGCGCCTGTCAGCTCCTGGCCACCCTTGGGTCCACGGGCTTTTATTAGGCGCCTGCTGTGTGCCAAGCCCTCAGTCCCTTGGGTCCTGAGGTGGGGGCTGGAGACGCTGGACAGCTCAGGGTCCATCACCTCAGTACATGGGGTGTCCCATCCCTGCTGTGGCCTCCCCTTGGAAGAACGATGACCCTAGCAGATGCAGACTTTGGGGTGTGCCTTCGGGTTGGGGGTGAGTCTTGGGGGGCGCTTCCATGAGCTCTTCCCGAGGAACGTTTCCTTGGCTCCCAAGAGCAAGGACAAACCCTAGACACGTCCCCCCGCCCCTGTGCAAATGGGCACTTATTCCCCTGGATAGATCCTCATCCCAGGGAGAATAATGGGCTGCCGGACTTTTTGTGGGGCTCGGGATTAGGACCAAAGTCAAGGCCCATCAGTTGGGAAAGGCCTCGCCCTGGACCCATGAATGTGCTTCAGTGAGTACTGCCAGGGGCCATGGACAGAGGAGGAGCGTGGAAAGGTGTCGGTGCGGGGACTGATGCCCAGCGAAGTCGGCAATCGGGGCAGTCCGAGGCTACAACGATGTGCGTGCAAAGAGCAATCTGCACCGAAAAACCCAAAGTGATCGAACAAAATTGCAGCGACCAGAAGACTCTGCCTGGGTGGAGCTCTGCTGGCCTTTCCTCTCCCAAAATACTGTTTGTCCTGTGTCGTGGGGAGAGGAAGGGAGGAAGAAAGAGAAAGTAGCAATGAAAACTTACTTTTAAAAATACGTACTGCTGGGATGAATTCAGAAAAACCTGGAAAGACATGAAGATGCAAAGTGAAGTGAGCAGAAGCAGGACAGCATTGTACACTTTAGCGGCAACATGGTGTGAAGATCAACTGTGACTGACTTAGCTCAGCCCTCCGGAGAAAGAACTGGAGTCTGAAAGCAGACAGAAGCTGACTATTTTTCACGTCATTTTTAATTGAGTTTTTTCTTTGCTCTGTTTTCTAATGACTAATGGAAATATTACTAAATGGAAATACATTTTGCATGATTGCACATGTACAACCTATATCAAACTGCTCACCCGCTCAGAGAGGGGGTAAGAGGGAGGAAAGGAGAAAATTTGGAGCTCAAAAAATTTTTTAAATGACTGTTAAAACTTGTTTTTGCGTGTTGGAAGAAAACAAAATACTATTAAAAAGAAAGAAAGAGGGGAAAAAATCTAGTGCTGAGCTGTGTCCTGAAGTTCTCTTCTCACGCCTTCCAGATACCATTTCGCAGCTGGTAGCAAAACCGAGCTCTCATAAAAGGGACTTCTGGGGGATCATCAAGATTCCTTGCAGATAAGTCTGATGCAGGGAGGCCTCCCAGGCCTTCTAGGCCTGTGACATTCACCCTCAGGGTCCTAGGAGGACCCCAAAGCTTGGGGTATTTCTGTTCTAAATCTGTTGGCTGGAGCCCCCATTCACTGGGATTGCATGCAGGAGATGAGCTCCTGGGGTCCATTTAACCAATTAACTTCAATTAGCTTTGACAAAAGGATCCCCAAGAAGGGATGTTGCAGGTTTCCCCAGTACCTCAAGGGGGCGCACTGTCCCAAATCCCAAGAAGAGCTGGTTCATTGATGATGGGGTTGCTTCGCTGCATTGGTCCCCAGTGTTCACTTCTCTGGCCTCAGCAACCTGGTCAGGGCCTCAAACCTGCCTCCCCCAGCGTAGACTCTACTCCTGGACCTTCACTGGCTCAGGTAATGTCTTCTTCACCTAGGAGGAATGAGCACGCACCAAGTCTGCTTTCCAGGGCCACGAGGCTGGGTAGGGCCCAGGACTCAACCTTGGCCATTGTCTGTCCACCAGGTGGAGAGGAGCATGAAGTCCACCTGGGGCCCTTGGACTGCGCTGCAGCCGAAGCCAACCTGAGGGGCTCTGGTTGGCCCCCCCTAGGTGTACCACACATTCTTCATGGGAACAGCATGAGCTGAGCACTCCACATGCACTTGTAAGGACTGGACTCCTTGGCCAGCCATGCCCTGCTGGCTTCCAGCCAGCTCAGGCCAGAGAGGCCAGTTCCCTTCACAGAAAGACAATGGCAGAGTTGACATTTCTTCTACTCCTGCTAAGAGCTCTTTTATCAGCTGCACAACAGTGAAAAACAATCCTGATCTATCTAATCTCATGAGTCCACCAAAAAAAATTGGCAATGATCAAAGCTATTTGAGGTGGGATCAATGGAGGCCATCAATAAAAATGAACCTCACCCTTGATGTGGAAGGTGTCTGGAGACCCTAGCCGAGGAGAGTCCAAAGTTACCGTTGTTAGTAACACATTGAAAAATGAACGTTCTGTAGCCGTTGAAGATGACCTGCAAAAACTCATATCTGCATACTTCTAAAAAAACAAACTTGGGGGAAAACGCTTTACCTGTTGAAAAATATTGCTGACGAATCTTCATTTGTTAAGAAACAAAAATGCAGCAAGAGAAACCTCTTTGAGCTAGGTGGATGGGACTGAAGAGTGAGTGTCCTGCTCTGGTATGCCCACCTACAGAGCATGTCTTCTAGAACCTGGGCTGGGGGAAGGGGGGAAGAATCATAATAATAGGCCTTGTAAAATAAAATAAATAAATGAAGACACAATTCAATACAATCAGAGCAATCAAACACCGCTGAAGAATTCTCCTGGACTGTGAGTTTAGGCAAAAGACTGCCGAAACCACTTCTGTTGCTTCCCAAATAGCCTGACTGCAAGCACTGATCTGCTTTGAGAGTGAAACATCCCCACTGCCGGAGTCCTTTCACCCCCAAGCACACATCACTCTTCTGTTTTGAAGTCCTGATGGCAGGGATTTTTCCTTTTTTTTTTTTCTTCTTTTCTTTTAAAATTTTTTTTAATATAAATTTATTTCTTTTTAGTTTTCAACATTTACTTCCACAAGATTTTGAGTTCCAAATTTTCTCCTCATCTCATCCTTCCCCCCACCCCAAGATGGCATGCATTCTGAATACCCCTTCCCCTAGTCTGCCCTCTCTTATATCTCTCCCCGCCCTTCTCTTATCCCCTTCCCCTTCTATTTTCCTGTAAGGCAGGAAAGACTTCTGTACCCCATTTCCTGTATTTCTTATTTCCCAGTTGCATGTGAAAACATTTTTTTTAAACATGTGTTTTTAAAACTTTGGGTTCCAAATTTTCTCCCTTCCTCTCTTCACCACCCACCCTCATTGAAAAGGCAAGCAACTCAATATAGGTTGTACATGTGCAGTTATGCAAAACACTTCCATAGTAGACATGTTGTAAAAAACTAACTCTATTTCCCTTAATCCTATCCTACCTTCCCATTTATTCTGTTCTTTCTTTTGACCCTGTCCCTCCTCAGAAGTATTTGCTTCTGATTACCCCTTTCCCAATCTGCCTCCTCTCTATCATCCCCTGCTCTCTTGTCCCTTCCCCCTATTTTCCTGTAGGTAAGACAGATTTCCATACCCAATTGAATGTGTATGTTATTCCCTCCTTAAGCCAAATCCTATGAGAATAAGATTCACTCATTCTCTCTCACCTTCCCCTGTTTCCCCTCCACTGTAAGAGCCTTTTCTTTTTGTTTTTTTTTGTGAGATAATTTACCCCATTCTACCTCTCCCTTTCTTCTTCTCCTAGTATAATCCTCTCTCATCCCTTAATTTTATTCTCCAGATATCACCAGTTAAACTTCAACCTCTATCCATCCATCCATCTATCTATCTATCTATCTATCTATCTATCTATCTATCTATCTATCTATCTACATACATATAATTTTTTCCCTCCAACTACCCTAATACTGACAAAGGTCTCATGAGTTATAAATATCATCTTTCCATGCAGGAATGTAAACAGTTCAACCTTAATAAGTCTCTTATGATTTCTCTTTCCTGTTTACCTCTTCATGTTCCACTTGAGTCTTGTATTTGAAAGTCAAATTTTCTATTCAGCTCTGGTCTTTTCATCAAGAATGCTTGAAAGTCCTCTATTTCACTGAATGACCATTTTTTCCCCTGAAGGATTATACTCAGTTTTGCTGGGTAGGTGATTCTTGGTTGTAATCCTATCTCCTTTGCCCTCTGGAATATTATATTCCATGCCCTGTGGTCCTTTAATGTAGAAGCTGCTAAATCTTGTGTTATCCTGATTGTGTTTCCACAATACTTGAATTGTTTCTTTCTGGCAGCTTGTAA